CGATGGCATGTGAGCTTCTCTGTCTTAGCTGTTTACAGAAAAGCAAAATCTGTGCTTGTTGATGTCCTGAATTTGGAATGTACTGGAAACATTTGCAAAGTGTCTGTCCCACACAGCCCGGTGTCTTTCAGACGACCAAATGTACATTGCAGTTCCATTATGAATTTGGTAAAAGTACAATTATATTAGGCCTGTGCATCTCTACCTTATGGTGTGAGGCACAAGGGTATGCAGTTTCTCTCATGATGCTCACTGGAATTTCACATCGTGTCCCCTCTTAGCAAAGAGGCACTGGGATATGTTTTGGTTCTGTGACCAGAGATATGGAAGATAGGGGATACAGAAACATTACAGTAGAGTTTACTGGTGATGCGTGAACTGACATGCTGCTGTCACCTGAATGAAACAGATGAAACAGACAGCGTGACACTTTCTAGGAGAGAAGTCCCTTCAGTCAAAGGAGCAAAGATCTCTAGGATAGTTTTCATTCAGAACATTCAGAGCTGCATTTTCAGTCCAGTGAGCAAGGATAAGTCTAGTCTAAAATAAACCTCAAATGACATGTAGAATCATAGAATCATAAAATAGTTAGGGTTGGAAAGGACCTTAAGATTATCTAGTTTCAACCCCCATGCCATGGACAGGGACACCTCACACTAAACCATATCACCCAAGGCTTTGTCCAACCTGGCCTTGAACGCTGCCAGGGATGGAGCATTCACAACTTCCTTGGGCAACTGTCGTAGTTTAAGCCCAGCTGTAAATCAGAATCACGCACTCTCTGTCTCCCTTCCCCCCTTCCCCACCCCTGCTCCCAGAGGAATGGGGAGGAGAATCGAAAGAATGTAACTCCCACGGGTTGAGATAAGAACAGCCCAGTAACTAAGGTATAACACAAACCACTGCTGCTACCACCACCAATAATAATGATAAGGGAAATAACAAGAGAAGAGAATACAACTGCTCACCACCCACCGATACCCAGCCCAACCCAAGCAGTGCTCTAGCCCTTCCGGGTGACTGCCCCCAGTTCTATGTCCTGGGAATGACGTGCTGTGGTATGGAATACTTTTTTGGCCAGTCTGGGTCAGGTGTCCTGTTTTTGCTTCCTCCCGGCTACCCTTCCTCCCTGGCAGAGCATGAGACTCAGAAAGTCCTTCGTCAGAGTAAATATTACTGAGCAACAACTAAAACCATCGGTGGTATCAGCACTGTTCCCAGGCTGAAAGTCAAAAACACAGCACCGCACCAGCTACTAAGAAGGAGAAAAATGACTGCTACTCCTGAACCCAGGACAGCAACCCATTCCAGTGCCTCACCACCCTCACAGTAAAGAAATTCTTCTTTATATCCAATCTAAACTTCCCTGTTTAAGTTTGAACCTGTTACCCCTTCTCCTATCACTACAGTCCCTAAGGAAGAGTCCCTCCCCAGCATCCCTATATGCCCCCTTCAGATACTGGAAGGCTGCTATGAGGTCTCCATGCAGCCTTCTTTTCTCCAGGCTGAACAGCCCCAACTTTCTCAGCCTGTCTTCATACAGGAGGTGCTCCAGTCCCCTGATCATTCTCATGGCCCTCCTCTGGACTTGCTCCAACAGTTCCATGTCCTTTTTATTTTGAGGACACCAGAACTGCACACAATACTCTAGATGGAGTCTCATGAGAGCAGAGTAGAGGGGCAGGATCACCTCCTTCGACCTGCTGGTCACGCTCCTTTTGATACAGCCCAGGATACAGTTGGCTTTCTGGGCTGCGAGCGCACACTGAAGCCGGCTCATGTTCATTTTCTCATCAACCAACATCCCCAAGTCCTCCTCCACAGGGCTGCTCTGAATCTCTTCTTTGCCCAACCTGTAGCCGTGCCTGTAGCTGTAATAGAAGAGGGTTCCACGTTTAGTCTGAACCATCTGTGAGTACATCTTTGAGACCCTCCTTCAGACTGAATCACCAAGCATAGATTCTGCAGTACCTGTATGCACAAGTCTGCTCCCTCTGTGAGGCATCCATCAATCCACTTGTGTCAGGACCTTGTATGATCCTTCACTGAAGACAATCATCAGCCCACTGAGCATTCAGGAGTGCATGCAGTGGGATTGGAGGAATACCACTGGTCATCAATATCCTTCAATCTGGTAAATGTTATACAATGGTTAAACAGAAGTGCTAACCAGTACTTCTCTCTGTCCTCAGTTTTCCCCTCCACCACACTTATGTTCTTCACATACTCCCTTGCTGCATTCTATCCATTTGTTTTTGTAAACCTGGCTAATTCAACCATGCCTTACCCTACCTGTAGTGCCCTTCCCTTTAAACATTTGTGGAGTGACTTGGGGCAGAAGAAGAGATAATATATTGCCAACAACCGCTACATTAACTACTGCATTTCACAGAAATGATATCATCCTAAATGATACTTGCTGTGCAACTGCAGGGCTAATTACAGGGCAGGAACAGGACACATGTGGCCAGAAGTACCAGCAGCACTACCACAGGGTAGGTTCTTTATACACTTCATCTGAGGAGAGGAAGAGACAGTGTGGCTGGTGTTTTGTACAGAAGTCTACGACAGCTGTTATCAAGGCATGTTATCAAGGACTGTAGGTCCTGGACTAAGGATGTGAATATCCTCTTGAGCAGTGGCCTTGGTGGAGTGCTCTCCCTTCCCTTGACGATCTGTTCAAGATCTTTGTGGTAGGGGCACATGCACCATGCCATCCCTGAAGCATGCTTTTGCTTTCATGTATTTTAAATGAACACAGCACTGCTTGTCAGTCCTCTCCCTCTCTGCAGCAGGCTTGAAATTAGCAACAGGGTGGTGTATCTGCTGGAGAAACTTCTGGGCCTTTCAGAGCATATGGTCAAGCTCCAGGTTGCCCCTTCAACAATATTCTGGAAGGCCAGTGCAACAGTTGTCACTATGGTAAAATGCAGCAGTAGGAAAGGAGGAATAATTTTAGTAAAATCGTAAGAAAAGTGTCCAGAAAGGAGGAACAACAAAAGAAATAGCACTGGTGAAGAGGACAGAAGCAATAGCTTGGGAGAAGTAACAGCAGCTGAAAGTCACTAGCAAGCAGGCAGTCATTAGCAAATATGGAGTTGTACATGCCATCTGGCCCTTCTGCAAACACTAGAGGTACTTCAGAATAAGGTGGGAACTCCTGACAGTTTTAAAGCATGCATACTTTTCATTTGGCCTGAAGAACTTCTCAGCATCGTAATCCTGCTCATTGGATCCTAACCTTTTAACTGACGTGGCAAAACTTCTCCCTTAGCTTTCTCTGCAATATCATTCACATGTCTAAAATCACTCTGGGAACCAAATCAATAAGCAAGGACAATCAGAGGACTTATTTCAGAACTGCACTACTGCTGTAATTTGAAATATCATGTAGCTGTCCCCCTAATAACCACTGCTTTTCTGGACTTGAGAATTCGTGACCCACTTCAAGAGGCATCTTGTGGTTGTGAGAATCTCTCTTCTAATTTTATAAAGAGTGAACTTTGAGCAGTAAAGTATACCTTTACCTTCTAAAAGAGGATGCAGCAAGCCCGTTCTGTAGAGTCTGATGTAGGGACTTCTAAACAATTTTGGAGGCAACCTTACCTTACTACAACTGCTCATTCTTCTTCAGTATCCTCAGGCTTAAGAAACTTATTTACTCAAAGTTCAGGCACAATCCCAGCATCAGCACCCACCAACAGTTGTGTTTGAATTTGTAACAGTGAAACACATCTCAACCTTTCTGTTCTACTATGGTCATCTTTAGTTATACGGTATAACAGCAGAAGATGGAGAAAGTTCCTCATAATACCCATTTCCTTATGCGGAACTTTTGCGCCTCTGATGGTCTGCAAAACAGTATGTTTCCACAATGCCATGCTGACTCCCCTGCTCCAGAAGCACTAGGTACAGATGGTGCTCTACCAATTGCTATATTCCCAGCATCATCAAAGCTTGTTTCACAAGCTTTTTCATGTCCTCAGAATCCAGTACATTCACTATATTTTTGCAGATACTGTACACTATGAGTTACCATTGGATTTCCCTTAATGGTTCACAAGCTTCTATTACCACTACAACTCAACAGAGGTGACCAACATGCCATGATGGCGGAATTAAAACAACTTCTGCTTCTAGGAACACTGAAAAACACAGAACAATTACTAGGGGGACATCATGCTGCAGTGTCAGAGAAGTTGGGATACACCCAGAATGGATGCACACAACCAAGTCTCAGCATGCTTGAAAGCTAACAATGTCAGTGCTTTTACATAAAATGTCTTTCACTGTCACTGATGGGTACTGGATTTACTCCCTAAAGAATAAAGAAGATAGTTCAAACAATATTGTATCTTCTTGCTGGCGATTAAGGAATTAACAATAACTTCTGAAAAAATAACAATATGAGGCAGCGTGACTGGTTTTTTGAGCACAAAAGTTAGGATGCAGCAGGCCACTCTAGTTGGACTACTTTACTCTCCACCCCACTGAGTTTCATCCCCAAAGGAGAAGGACCAAGTCCTGAATGTCATCTGAGTCTTGACTCAGGCGCCTTAAGTGGTAGAAAGAAAAAAGAAGTCTTCTTAGAAGTTCTGGCTCTAACCATAGAGCTCCCAATTGCCTCCAGCTCAGGTCCAGTAAGAATTTGTCATCTCCAGACATGCAAAACACAGCATACTCTCCTAGATCCGTAATAAAGGTAGTCTAATGGCCTCTGGCTGAAGCATCAGCAACACAGGTACTCTCCACCATTTGCCATTTCTGGGTCTGTTGTTTTGGAGTTCCTTGTTCTCCTGCATCACAAGTCACACAGATGAAGTAGAAAAGTTTGAAGGATAATGATGACATAAGTTTTCCTTAAGAACTGCTGTAATAGACAGAAGAGTATAAGCACTGAAGATATACACACAATTAAAAAATACGTGGCATGAAGAACAGAAAGGTGCAAACACGATCATTGACTGGAGAAGATGCTGGTTTTGACGAATGGATCATACCTCATACAGAACTGTAGTATTCCCATGAAGGAGAGGCCCATAGCAAATATAGGAATGACCAACAACCCAGCCTAAATCAGAGGCTGCCCACCACACCTAAGGTGAGAGAAAAAAGAAGTGAGGAGTTTTTAAGAGGAGTTCAAAAACATTTATGTGACATTTAAACAAAATTACCTCACCAGGTTTCAGTCCATATATAGCTGACATTGTCCAGTTCAGCATAACTGCATAGCCACCTGTTGGCCTGACAACACCCTAAATGAAAAATTTGAATATTTAAGACCATTTGTAGGATGCAATGATATTCCTGTCTTCTATTAAATTTTAGGCTTTTAGCAGCAACAGACTTAAAGTTACATAGATTCAATAATTCTTATTTAAGGAAAGGATCCGTTCCAACAAGTATATGCTTGTGCTGGCATTCCTACTAAAGAACGTTTTGGAAAACAAGCAAACAAATAAACAAACATACAACAAAATAAACACAAAACCCCAACCCAAGGTCTAAATGACAGTAGCTTTCAGAAGATAACTAACAAAACTAGAATTCTCTCATTAAAATTGGATATACAAATATTTAGTCAACTACTTGACAATCTTCATCTTAGAAGCATGATTTGTCAAAGATGCCTATCCTTTTCTCTGGACAAAAAACACAGTGATGTAAATTTCTGAGAACTTTTATCTCCAATATACTGCATTTTCAAGCTAATAGTCAAGGAAAATACCTGTTGTAAGAAAGGATCCTGTCTTGGACCTTTTGACAATATAATTTATTTAAGATATATATGTTGCTTCAAAACATCCACATTCAAGGAAAAAGTAGAGACAGCGTTTTTTGGCAAAACTTATGTTTGTTTTCCTTTACCTCCCCAAGGATTCTGAACTTTGTAAGACACATTAAACAATTTTCTAGTAGTAATGTAAGCACTGCCTTATCCAGGGATGTGTGGTACTGCCTCTGAATTTCTGGTGGTGAGAACACTGCTAGAACATTATACTCAGCTTATCTTTAAAAGAGGATTGTAAGTACCAAGCAAACACTCAAGTTTGCTTTAAAAATAAGCTCTTTTAAAAATAGATCATTAAGACTAATTGACATTTTAGAAGCAAACATTTTCAAAGAATGTCCAATGTTAATTTTCACTTACTCAAGCAAAACGTTCATTTTCACAGGAATTATGTTCTCAGAACTGTTCAGTAACACAAGCTTCCAGAACATGCTTAAATCCATTTAATGTGTAATGTCATACACTACATCTTACTTAAATTAGCTAATATGTAAATAATGAATAAGAAAAGACTATTCAGCAATAAATATTATCACACAAGTGATATATTAACTAATCTTGCTATTAAGTGACCATACTTCACTCATCTAAAACAGTTAAAACACAGAAGATATTAATGGATAAAAGACATTCTGCTGTCCTGAAAAGTTTGTATTGTACAAACATCTTGAAGTAAATGTAATTTATCTTTATATTACTACTATTTAAATAAACATGACTTATTCATTGACACTGACTGTAAACTAGTGAAATGTGAATAAATGAGATTAAAACATTTCTAGCAATGCTTATCATTTATACCACTGAGCTCTGGCAAACATTTTCAACCTCTTTAATTAAATACTTTCTCAAGTGGAACTCAGAAACAGACTACAGATAGTCCTTTACCTTAGGCAAGCCCGTTGTTCCAGATGTATACAGAATATAAAGTGGATGATCTGAGGGAACAGAGACACATTTACAACACTGTGCTTTGGCAAGCTCTTCTTCCCAGTCAAGATCACGACCTGGGGTATGACGAACATGGCCCTGTCCATTGAAAAATAGAAAATTGTTGGAAGAAACAGATAGAGTAAACGGAATTGGGTCAAAAAACGTGTACTATTAAATATTCTGTACAGTAATTTCTCTGCTGCATTTGTTGTATTTATTATTTAAATCTTACGAATATAAAGTTCTCCCATCAAATGAAAAAAACAAAGTACAACAAATACACGAAACGTTTCACTTGTAAAAGAGAAAAGGCATCTGCACTACATACATATCTGGAAGTTAACATAAAGGCACAACAACTGTACACCCACCAAATTAGGTCGCGTGTAAATGAGAACTTTATCAGGTTTGCTCTGTACCGTTGCCAGTGCTCCTTCTAGGAGGGATATGTATTCCACCTTCCTTTTCGGTTCTACTCCAAAACTTGCTGTTACAATAAGTTTGGGCTAAAATAAAGAAGTTAGATTGTTAATATATGCATTTACAATATATTTTATACATGTAACCTAATAACATGTTTTCTATGAATTTTTTTTATTAATGATACTCAATGGATAAAATCTATCTTCACATAATTAGAAACAGGGATTTTTATCAGTTTCCTAAGGAAATCAAGCTCATATGATCTTGCTGTCCATCTTGCTGGTTTTTGTTCAGGAGCGTACTAATAACTTCTGACACTCTTCACCATTTTCAACCACATTTGAGTAAGAAATAAACAGTATTAAGTTCTTGTAAGGTGCACAAAAATAACAAAAAGAGAGAAAAACCCACCTCTGACTTAGCCCTTCCATTAAGGAAAAGTGTACAGTGATGTCAACAAATATCTGTTCTGTTTAGCATGCTTTTGAATTATCTGCCTGCACTAAGTGGCGTATTTCAAAATTAGCTGTAGCACTTTGCTGGCTCTTTTCCAACCTGCAACTAAATGGCACAAGAGGGAAAAATCAGAGAAAGAGGAACAAGCAGGCAAACATGACTAGAAGTACAGAAAGAGAATAAGCTAAAGTCACAAGGCACATGAGGGAAGTAAAGCTAGAGTCTTTCAAGCGCTGGTTGCAGGATTCAGGATGCAAAATCTCTAAAAATGAGATTTCCATAGTTCTGGTGGATTTTTTGAATAATTTATATTTCCAAATGTGGATTTAACATCTTTCCCATTAAATTAACCTCAGGTTTTATGTAAGACTTCCTAAGTCAAGAAATCTGCATACAAATTATTTTGACTTAGGTCCCAAGATCAATAATTTTATTTCATGAATTTTAAGAAATAAGAAGCAGGACCAAAAAAAAAAAAAAAAAAGTGTTAAAACACATTTTAATTGGTGAAGAATGAGCCTTCAATCTCCTTGCTTTTGGAGTTTCAGAAGTATATTTATCTTATGCCCCTCAGTTTGATCAAGCTAGTTTGCTAATTGTATGCATTTGCATAAATCTCATTAAGTAGGAACAAACCATGATGCCACAGCTAAGGTTGCATTAAACTCCACACAGAAAGCACAGATTAAATCAGTTTCTTAGGCAATAATCAAATGTTTCCTGTCCAAATCTGCCATTTGACAAAGTTTGCTAATTAGCGTGCATGCAAAATTAAGATTTCAGGATTTATTTAAAGTTTTATGATTTAATTTAAAATGTCAGGATTTATCATCTTTCTCTTTTGGAATCCACTGTTTTTAACAAAAGATGATACAATGCAGTTAAACTGAAAATTCATCCAGATTCTGCCCTGAAGTTAGGCTGTAATTTATGTAAGATATTAACACAGTTCTATTCAGTTGTTAAGATGAAAGACTATTGTCAATACCAGGTTTACAGCCATTTGTAACTGGTGCCACCTCTGTTCATCAAATGCTTTGTATGCAGTCTAAAAATAAGCAATGCTAAATTGGCTAAGATATATTTCCCAAATAAGGGTTGCTACTTGGAAGCATCATGGATCATTCTGTGCAAATCAAAGGTCTGTTACTGACTTCAGCTGCTGCTTTCTAGTGTTTTGCTTCTCTGCCTACTGATACTATTTCCTCTGTGTCTCTGCTCCCACGCTGCTTCTATACACCCATTCTCCACTTCTTCTGTGGCTCCATGTAGTCCTGTGTGCTAAGATTACATAGAAACAGAACTAGTTTGAAGGAAAACCAGGAAAGTTCAAAGGTTAGCTGGAGAAGGAATGCCAGCAACAGTGAGCTGTAGGGGAAAAATATAAATTAAGTAGAAATAAGATAAAGCAAGGCCCCATAGCACAGAACCAATAATTTTATACTGTTGTAAAGATTCCTCCTACAAATTCTTCTATAACCTTTAACAGCACACAAGGCAAAGATTAGAAAAAGGATAAAAATATTTTATTGGGCCAGCTAATAAAGCAGCAAAAAGCCCAAAGTGAAAACTAACTAGCTTTGGGGCACAACATGTCAGGAGTGTAATGAAGATGTTTACTGAGAGGTGCAGTGGTCAGCCCATCATTATACAGATATTTTACAGTGATCTAAAGAAAGAGACCTTAATCATACAAGTAGTTAAAAAAAAAACCACAAGACACTGCCTTCTAATCTAAAATACATATTCCACAAATAGGCAGTGCTTCAAGACAAGACCTGACTGTAACTATTATAAGGCAATTATGCATCTTAAGTATCAGCAGCTAAGCTTGCTGCCTAATCATAGAATCACAGAATTACAGAATGGTTAGGGTTGGAAAGGACCTTAAGACCATCTGGTTCCATCACCCCCTGCCACGGGCAGGGACACCTCACACTAGACCATGTTGCCCAAGGCTCTGTTCACAACCTGGCCTGGAACACTGCCAGGCATGAAGATTTACAACTTCACTCGAAAGGTTTTATTATCATATGCTGAGAAGTAGGGGTAACCATTCATAGGCATAGCTGTGTGCAGAAACTACGTTCTATTCAGAATAAAATATTACAAAATACTAGCTCATTTTTTCAAGGATAAAATTCAGAGGAATGGAACACCTCTCTTATGAAGAAAGGCTGAGAGAGTTGGGGTTGTTCAGCCTGGAGAAGCCTCATTGCAGCCTTTCAGTACTTCAGAGGACTTACAAGAGACAGGGACTAACTTTTTATCAGGGCCTGTTGCAATAGGACAAGGGCTAATGGTTTTAAACTAAAAGATGGGAGATTTATACTAAATATTATTATGCTGAGGGCACTGAAACACTGGAACAGGTTGCCCAAAGAGGTGGCAGATGCCTCAACCCTGACATTCAAGGTCAGGATGAATGGGGCTTCGAGCAACCTTATCTAGTTGAAGATGTGCCTGCTTATTGCAGGGGTTTGGACTAGATGACCTTTGAAAGTTCCTTCCAACCCAAACTATTCTATGACTCTATGAAAGTGTCTATGTTTCAATATTGTAAACTATATAGTCCCACATTCAGGTGAAAGGAAAGAGAACGAGAAATTTTTGTTATCATGCTCTGTATCACTTCACTGCAATTCACTGCACGATGTCTGTAACTGCCAATACCTGACAAGAGTAGAAATTATCAGCAGGACTTTACAGCATTCCCAGACCTATTTAAAATTCAAGATAAATGAAGGTAAGCTGGTGAAGTATATGTAGCTTTTCAGAGGCAGAAAGTGCTTGTTATTTCTTTCACTTAGATCTTCCAGTAAAACGTAAAGTTTGACCTTTCTTCCACAAAAGCATCTTGCAGCCAGCTTTCCATTGCACACTTTTAACTCTAATTAATCTTACCAACATTAGCTCCTGAACTGCAGCATCTAAACCAATTCATAAACCAATTCACATAAAAGCCTAACAGAAAGGCTGCTTTTTTTAATGCCGCTTCAATTAACTTCTGAGTTCAGCAGAATACCATCTATCGCAACTACTTATATGCATATATCTTAAATGTAATCTCAGTATTATGCAATTCATTTACCAAAAAAGCTTTACTGTGTTGCAAAACATGACATGTTTTGAAATTTAGGTTGAGGATGTACCTCTCCTCTGACTTACACTTTCTCTGCACATTAAATGGACCAAAAATCATCCATAATATTCAGATCTGCCTTTTAAAGAAGGCAATGTAAATTAGGATTTAATCCATGGCCTGCAGCTAGTAATTCTACAGCTAACACTTCGAAAGACTTGCTATGTGACCTTGGATAAATCACAAACTTTCTCTGTTTTCTTTTTAATGCATGAAGCAAGGATTATGATTACTGTGCTCTCTCCCTCTGTTCCTCAGAGAAAATCCATCGGGATTAATTAGTTAATATTTGCAGAATACTCTAAAAGTAAACATGCTCAATAATTTGTATTGTAGCAACTTTCATTTTAAAAGTCTATAATTTTTCTTCTACATTATTTTTCCCTAAATCTATGAGTTAAAATTAATTTTTATAGCCTGTTAAAAAGTGAAGGAACAGGCAGAAAGACGGGAGAAAACTATGGAGCTATCAGTGTTCACCAGCTTTCTTTACACAATTCCAACAGCCATTTTATTAACTTTCTCTTTGTTAAAGCATCCAGGTGGGGAGGGGGCATGCGTTCAACTTTCTATTTACAGATATTCATACAATTCAAGCATTGGTGATCTGAAAAGCCCTTCTGCACACAACCATCTAAGTAAAAGTTCCACAAATCCTGTGGACTTTATCCCACATAATATTTTGGTTTACACATCTAACCAATGTGATTCAATGATAGATGGCTACCGTGGATGGTTTGAATGATCCAGGTGATTAATTAATATGACAGACATTTTTGTCTTATTCACTAGAAGACAAGAACAGAAACTTCCAACACAAAAACTATTAGCTGGTTTGAAACTAATGCATACACAAGCTACTAATATGCATATATAAGCTACTAAGTATATTATTAAAGTACTATTTGCATTTTCATTTACAAAGACTTACATAATAATTCATAAACACACTCAACTTGTGCTGAACTTGGAAGCCTTTAAAGCATTCGCCTCAATTAACTATGATCTCTGCAGAGTCACTTACTTAAGGTGACTGGTTTCCTAGCTGCCTAGATTCATGGAGAAATTAGATGAGGTAGATTCATAGCTGAAAAATCATACAGCCCAGGACATCTAAACGTCAAGTAAACCAATGAAGGCATTTAGGATTGGCAGCATTGCTCTCTTAACACTTCAGGAAAATGCTGAGCAAAAGACCAATTTTAAAGTGATGCTTTCTAGAAAAAGATTGACACGGGGGAAGAGAAAGTATGTTCTAAACAGGCACCAATATTAAAGTCATGCTTTTTTAAAAAGAGGTCATTATGAGAATGAAGCCTTAGGCCCATAAGGAACTGGATAAAGAACTGGCTGGATGGCCACATGCAGAGTTGTGGTCAACAGCTCAATGACCAGCTGGAGACCAGTAACAAGTGGTGTCCCTCAGGGATCAGTGTTGGGTCTTGTTCAACAGCTTCGTCACTCACATGGACAGTGGGATTGAGTGCGCCCTCAGCAAGTTTGCCGATGACACCAAGCTGTGTGGTTCGGTTGATACGCTGGAAGGAAGGAATGCCATCCAGAGGGACCTTGACACGCTTGTGAGGTGGGCTGATGCCAACCTCTTGAAGTTTAACCATGACAAGTGCAACGTCCTGCACCTGGGTTGGAGCAATCCCAGGCACAGCTACAGGTTGGGCAGAGAAGAAATTCAGAGCAGCTCTGCGGAGAAGGCCCTGGGGGTGCTGGTCAATGAGAAAATGAACATGAGCCGGTTTCAGTGTGCGCTTGCAGCCCAGAAAGCCAACCGTATCCTGGGCTGCATCAAAAGGAATGTGACCAGCAGGTCAAAGGAGGTGATCCTGCCCCTCTACTCTGCTCTCGTGAGACCTCACTTGGAGTATTGCGTGCAGTTCTGGTGTCCTCAACATTAAAAGGACATGGAACTGTTGCAGCAAGTCCAGAGGAGGGCCACGAGGATGATCAGGGGACTGGAGCACCTCCTGTATGAAGACAGGCTGAGAAAGTTGGGGCTGTTCAGCCTGGAGAAGAGAAGGCTGCGCGGAGACCTCACAGCAGCCTTCCAGTATCTGAAGGGGGGCTATAGGGATGCTGCGGAGGAACTCTTCATTAGGGACTGTAGTGATAGGACAAGGCGTAATGGGTTCAAACTTAAACAGGGGAAGTTTAGATTGGATATAAGGAGGAAATTCTTTCCTGTTGGGGTGGTGAGGCACTGGAATAGGTTGTCCAGGGAAGTTGTGAATGCTCCATCCCTGGCAGTGTTCAAGACCAGGCTGGACAGAACCTTGGGTTACACTGTTTACTGTGAGGTGTCCCTGCCCATGGTGGTGGGGTTAGAGCTTGATGATCTTTAGGTCCTTTCCAACCCTAAGTATTCTGTGATTCTATGATTTTATAAAATTTGTATCTCAATGTCTGCTAAAAAGTTATCAACCTCATCACATATATAGTACTTTGGTCATATTGCAGCGTTAGGCATCCTAAACAAACTGAGACTGTGTGCCACAGAAAAAGAAAAGGTGTTATGCTCTCTGGGAAAAAAAAACAACAAACAAAAAACAAACAAAACAATAGGGTTTTGACATGACTTATATGAGTAACTAATGCAATGATGTTTGTTTTTCCAAGTACGTATTACCTTTGCATGGTCAATGCGAACAGAAAGCTCTTTTGATGCAAATCCACCAAAAATCAGACTATGGATGGCTCCTATTCTTGCACAAGCCAGCATACAGTACACTGTCTGTGGAATCATGGGCATGTAGATGACCACACGATCTCCCTTCTTCACACCATGTCGGATCATGACATCAGCTAACCTGGAGACCTGTACAGACAAAACATTCACAGTATCTTAAAAGTTTCTCCAGATATGTTTTTGCCCCATATAAAACAACTTTCACACAATCAACCAATGCAGGACATTAAGGAGATAAGCCAGTATGATACATGAAGTTTACGAATGATGCAATCAACAAATTTAGGAAAATTTCGCAAAAAACACAATACAATTTTCTTTTGTAATATGAGAATGGACGGAAGCCAATTATTTTACATATTACAGCAAAAAAAAAGTCAGTAACAATGTATTGCAAATTTTTAAATGACACTCTAATCATTCATTCTCTTATCCAGAAAACTGCTTGCGTTTCTCAATTTTAGCTTTTAAGAATGGTTGTAATTTCATAATGCAAATTCTGTCCTAAGTAGCTAATGTTACAGATGGAATGACACCCTTCGCTTGTAAAAAAAAAAAAAAAAAGTGGAGATGTGTTTATTGATTTAACAATGATTTAACAAAGTTGATAGTAAATGCAACAGTGGTTTAACAAGATTTGTTGGTGAGGTACATGTGATTACTTAATGCACAGAGGACAGGCTAAGACAAAACTTTCAGGGAGGTGCAGCTGTTGAGCCATGAGGTTCAGAAAGGACCCCTTGCTTTCTAAACTCCTTTCCATGTTTCTCAGGGGAGTCTAGGTGCAGCCAGAAACAAACTTAGTCCCAGACTTGCTCAACAGTTAACGTCTAAATGATTATCCGTGTACAATCAATACTTTATATCATTTAACTAAGATTTCAAAGTTTAGCATGCTATTAATCACTTACGCAGAATATCTTGCAGCAAGGAACCTCTCAGCCATGAGGAGTAAACCTTGAGAGGTGTGCCTGCCCAAGGGTTGATTCTGGCAGCCTGCTGCTATGCAGGAGAGATCAACAGGCCCTGGGCTGTCAACTATTTATGGATTAGGATGATTGACTTTTAGTCATATTTGCATACAAGCCATATTTCAGCTGGTGCATGCTCAACAAGCTGTTGAGCAAGACTCATGGCCCTTAGCTATTGTGCTGTTATCTGTCTCCACAAAGTTCAAAATAAGCCAGATGCAGCATTTGCAACCAATACTGGTGGCTATAGCTTAAGCAGAAAAAGCGGGGGAAGTGAAGAGCACACTGCCACAGCTAAGTCTGAAACACAAATCAGTGTGTAGTAATATTTCCTCTACCTCAGCAAATTTCTCAGACTCTAAGACAAGAAATCTTATACCTTGCACCAAATACATTTCAGACATTTCAGGGAAACAAATTAGGTCTGAGAAGTCTTTTTTCCACTCATTTTCAGATTTTCATTTTTGGCATGAAGGAGCCTGGAGACAGACTATGCATGGCATGAAAGGACTGGAACTCAAGAAATGTAATAGATCAGCAGCAATGTTAAGCTATCTGTATCACCATGAGAAAATATTTATTACCTTGACAACATGTTCTATTACAAAACTAGTACTGAAAATTCCATTAGTACACCAGGATGGAAAATTCACCACGCATTACTTCTGTTTGAGTGAGCATGCTAGCCTGCGACAAGTACTCTGCACTTCTGACCTGCTTGTTGTGGCACTTCCTGAAGGAAAAGCAAATGACTAATTCCCTGAGAGCAACTGAATGAACTCAGGTTTCTCGAGTTCCAGAGGGTGACAGCTGTGTAACACTCAGTAACCAAATCTGCTCACTGCTCTTAAATTTTTCAATTAGACATAAGTGTGCAAAGGAGTATAAGTAATAGAGGTAAAACTGCATGTTAACTGTGCACAAAACGTAAGTTAATAGGTTAACAGGAAAAACTGTAAGAAATAAACTAATAAGCTAAAATGAAAAACGTCCCAAGAAGTCATGAGCTGGAATACCCCACAAGCACAGTTACAGGCCAGGTAGATATAACAAGAACAGGAATTTTGCTTGTAATAGTTTTACATTAGTAATAAGACTTAAAAAGTTAAAATCCCTAGGAAGGCATATCTGAAGATACATATATCTAAGTCTGAGAAAAAAAAAAAAAGAGTTTCTCTATCATACAGTGGAACTCATGTACAGTAGCAAAACTCTTCTTTAAGAGGTTGTAATTCCCTAGAAAATACTACAATAAGTGTAAGAAGTTGAAACATTCTGATTTCTTCCACTATCAATGTAACAGGAAACTACTCACATATGTAATCCTCACATCTTACCTGAACTGCATTATTCCTTATTTATTTATTATATCACACCGAGAAGGTTTCAAGCAGAATTTAGTCACATGAAAGACTTTTCTTCAGGTACTACCAGACTGGAGAGAAAGGAAAGGGGAGACAAACTCCCGAGAGCAGCAGGCAGATGTTGCCTGTCAAATAGAAAATACCTAAACTTCTGAAGCAGCAAAAGATGTTTTCAATGACCCAGCAAATAACGCAAGCAATGGAAGCACCCTAGTGCTTCCAGTAATACATGTTGTGCAAGCAGAGCAGGAGGGAAGGACCCTGTTTTTCAAGGATAAGCTAGACAGGAGGGTAGATTTTCTTTGAAACATTTTACTTTCATTTATATTATTAATCAAATTTGAGTTTTCTCTATTTAAAGAGTTATCTTGTTCCAGTATAATATTTCAAATTCTAGTACCACTGGAACTTTCCAAGACTTACAGCCATTAGGCTCTTTCTTTTATGGTCATATTCAAGAAAACATGGGCAATTACATCCTAATCTAAAAGCCTATGTAATACATGCACTGAAGAGAATAATACAACATTATGTACTGCTTCTCTCTTTATCAGGAACATGGTCAGACTTTCAGCAACCTGAGACAATAACATCCAGAAGCTCCACATGCATTTGACCTGTGTTTGCATTAAATACACAGCTCATCCACAATCAAACTATGCATATTTATTAGACTTCTGCCTGAGGACTTAAGAAAATGGAAACACAGAAGGCCCAAGCATGCATGCTTGCATTAGTAGATGACAGTATAGCTTCCACTTTTTGTAAACATTGCATAAATCCCTGCTGTTATTTTAAGCCACAATAGAGACAAAGTTTAAGGCAAAGTGATCACCATACCAAGCTGAAAACTCACACAAACTAATGTATGTCTACAATTTATTTATAACAGACCTCTTATATTAAATGTTACCGATAATCAAAAGAAAGCATCTTTAATTATAGACCTATTCATACTTATCAATACTATATGGAACTGACATATGCTATGAAAACCCAACAAAAAATAAACAAGGCCTGGACACAACTAGAATGTACTGCCATGCCACCAGCATTTACAGTCATTTCTAGATATTTGCCTGCTAAAGGCAAAATGCATCACTTAAAAAATCATCATTAGTAATTTTGTAATAGAAGACTTCTTATGCCTCTATACAAGCTATGTAACATTGGTACTTGACTACAGGAAGGAGACAGTTAAGAGGTCTGCATGTACTTCAATAATTTTTATTGAAACCAATCATAGGTAAATTGTACCTAAAGAAGAATGTATGTAGCATGACACAGACAGGAATCACATCTTCCATGCAAACCCAATAATTGCTTGTCTGCACTTAACCTCCCTATCCTAGAGTTTAATGGCACTGAAGACAATAACCCAATATATTACATGAGTACCTATGATATACCTTGTGCCCTTTCCCTCATCCTTCTCACAGCCAGAGAACATCAGCCAGAGAACATCTGGACTACATACAGATAATAAAACACCGTATCTGCAACTATTTGGAAGAGTAGGGCACAGTTTATTTTATGGGTTTATATTGCCCGTAAGATTGATGTGGAAACCCTGAAACATCCAAGCAATCACTCTTTCTTAAAAAAACGCAGGGAAGATGTCAGTAGTGACATTGCGTTACACTGTTACAAGCCATGAAATATTCCTTTTTGTTACAGTGTGTTGTCATTTATGGTTTACATTAAGACAGCTTACTTTATCACTCAAGATTTTATAGTTGCTATTTTCCTACCAGCATGCTATTTCTCTGCTTGTCTTCAAGTTTAAGATTGCTCTAGCACTTTAGTATATTTGACACTTCAGCGATAAAATCACTTGAGACCAAGTGATATAATAAGAAACTCAAGTAGGTTTTCAGCTTTGAAGATCTGAGCTTAAATTACACTTCTATTAAATGCAAGCCCCCTGTGAACATGGCTTTGCTTTCACCCAGGCACCAAACAAACACTACATCTGTATTAGCAGTTCAGGTCTAGAGAAGTACTCAGTTCTAAAGTAAATCACCAGGCTGTACCCAGTAGTTAAAAAAAGCAGTTTTGGTCCATGCCAAAAGAATTCTTCTTCAAAGATACTAAAATGGAAATTCCACTCAAAATCCTCAAAAGAGGAACTTCAAAACTTCCTGGGTTGAAGAATGGCTGGGTGTCATCATTGTTCAGTCCTTCAATAGAAGCTACTGAGAGCTCCTGAAACATCCTGAAGTGCTTGTGGGTAAAAAGAGCCATGTCACATACACATTCCTCTAAACCAAAGGCAGCAGGTTGCTCTTCACCTTCTCCACTGTGTCATTTTCTCAAGACTACTATAGAAAGTACTCCTTCCTACTCCCCCCATCCTCTTCATCAGCCTCTTCGCTCTTCTATTACTCTTCTTAACTACTGTTCCCAGGGAACCCCCATGAGACAATATGCAGGAACATCCCCTTGGCCCACTCTCTGCTACAGCAGGCAATGGGAACTGCAAAATCACTGACTCAGACGCCCACCTGTGTATACTCCTTTCCCGTACACGTATCGAGCGTGGGACTGTAGGAGGTTTCTGGTATAATTAGGACACTGGTCACAGAGCTGTGGAAAGGTGGTGTGGGTCTCTTGATTGACTGCGAGAGCTGTTATGCCTTCAGAGACAATTCCCCAGGGGCTGAGAGAGAAGGTCTATAGAGCAACAAGCTCCATCAGAGACCATCTGCCCTGTCCCAACTCTTCCTGTGTGCCAGGCACAGCCCTGGCAACTGTTGACGTCAGGGATGTGTCATGTCATGATAACAGCTGTCCT